TTCTCTCTGAGGACGGTGAACGAAATGTCAAGGGGGAACAGCTACGTGCAGACGAAGCCTTAGAAGAAGACGCCTTGCTCCAAGGTCTCGACCTATGGTCGCCTACCGAAGACGTGGAAGCAACGAGAGACGTTGGCGTAGGCACAGGGGCTGATACAGTAGAAAGGATAGGCACCGATGCTGGAGGAGGCAGAGGTGCTGTAATCATCGGAGGTGGCAAAGGCGCTGTAGGAGGGAGAGGCGTTGATGTTGCTGGTTAAATAAATGGCATAGGCGCTGAGGTACTGGCCTGACCTGATAATAAAGTCAAGAGAGTGCTGAACGTGCTGGCCCATCGGTTGTTGCGGTGACAACATTGCCATTAGCGTAGGAGGTGAGGGAGAGCGCCAAGCGCCGAAGGTCCAAGCGCCAAAGTTCCAAGCGCCGAAGCGCCAAATGCTGTAATGCACGGTGACATAAGAGGCGAGGTCATCATCTGGATGCTGGTGACAGACGCACTCGGAGAAACAGTGGACGCTGCTACACTGGATGTAGATGTAGCGGTCGTCAAGACCGGCGTTGAAGTAGAAGACATATTCTTCCGTCTCCGTTGTCCCAGGCGCTTCTTAGAAACCTGGAGATAAACGGAGAAACTCTTGGGTGAAACAACAGTGCAGCTGGCACATTTATGGCCAAGGGAACATTGAGTGGTACAATTCAAACATCGGGGATGAGGGTCTTTATGAGACTTCCCACCCAACTTGCTCTGTACATGGATCTACAATAAACCAGAAAAGCCAATAAATGCACATAAAAACATTACATACAATGGTAATGAATACAACAGCATAATTGAGAACAAAGTCTCAAAGAACTGAATGATAAAGAGACCATAATACAGACATAATAAATATACCACTATTATATGGTATAATATATAAGCCTGAACCAAATAAAACACAACGACTACAAATACGGAGAAGTGTTGTAATGGCGAAGTGATAGAGTGATGACAGGACAGTGTCATAAACGAACGACATCGCTAAACAGAACTACTGAACTCAAATAACAAGAGAAAGTGAAAGATAATATCTACACTTCTCGTAGAGGAAAAAATAATAATATACACAAAGTCAGTTTATTAAGCAGACACAAAACATCCCGTAGGATACAATGAACATCTGGCAACCCACACATCTAGCGAGGCGTGTGAAAAGCAATAATCTGAGGTGGCTGACGTCACCTTCCGGTGACGCATGCGCAGACGAGTAGCAACCAAGAACAGGAAGTGGTTGCAGTTCTACGTCTTTTAACATCGTCTGGCAAGCCACGCTCTCCGAGCCGTAAGCAATAAGTGCAGGAAGTAAGTAGTGCAGGATTAATTAAAAATTTACCTTTTTTTATTATTGCTGCCATTTCTCAACAGTCCCAGTCACTAGAACACTTTCACTATATAATGAGACAAATCAGACCTCCTTAGCAAAACGAAGGGAAACTTCCAAATTAAAATTCCATGGCAACAAGTTTGACTTAGATTGAAATTGGTGGTAGTACTCTTTTTCCGGAGCAGAACTCTAAAACTGTTCACTATTTCTTCACCAAACTTGGCACATAGATAGATCTGGTGGTCTTCTGGTGCCTTTTGATAGTTTTGGATTTCTGAATACAATTTGTTTTGCGTTTCCATGGCAACAATTTTGGCTTCAACTGAATCTGGTGGTAGTGCTCCTTTCTGGAGCAGAACTTTAAAACCTTTTAGTACTCTCCTTCCACTTAGTTATATACACGCCAAAACATTTGACATAGTAACTCGTAGACATATTCATGAAGAGTATTTTGCCATTGTGGGGGATATTGATGACTTTGTCTTCTTGTTAATTTGTCTTTGTAGTTTTAAATACAGACTGTCATGCAAAACTCTTGAAACAATGTATTAAACCTTCATTTTACCTTTATTTGATTATTGCTGCCATTTCTGGGACAGTTGTACAAAGGAACATTCCCAGTCACTAGAACACTTTCACTTAGGTAGATACCTTACACACAATATGCGTAAGAGGTACGAGCCATGCGAAACTATATAATGAGACAAATCAGACCTCCTTAGTGAAACGAAGGGAACTTCCAAATTAAAATTGTTTTACAAAATGGTAAACCATATGGTTGCTGACTATCTTTGTGATTTTGTTCCAGGGAATGTGTCCGACAACAGTAATTACAATCTTAGGAATAATGAAAATTATCAGACTATAAGATGCAAATCTACCAACTATGCCAGTTTCTTTTTGCCCGATACAAATAAATTGTGGAATAACCTACCTACAAATGTGACAACTCCTTCCTCTGTTGGAGAGTTTAAGAATCTGTTCACACCACAAGTTGATACAATGTTCGATCTTGATTTTGGTAGCCATTTCTGTCAAATAATACACTGTCGTCTTAGACTGTGATGCAGTGACCTAAACAGTGATAAATATAATTGTTTCATTTCTAATAATGCTTCTTGTTCATGCTCACATGACTATGAGGATGTATTCCACTATTTCTTCACGTGTTATAAATATAATAGCATTCGACATGAATCACATTTTTATGGGTATTCTAGTCAATGCATCAGTTCATTATTACATCAAAACAATTTGATTCATAAAAGTCTTGTAGTTTCTATTATTTACTTATTTGTGTCAACTGGCCACGAAATAAAACTAAGGAAATTTGTTAATATCCAAGATTGTTATCATTCAGAGATAACTGTTATAATTATCATGTACAACATTATGTATATATGTGAACCTATACATGTATTAATTTATGGACCGGCATTAATATAAGCCATTTAGGCTTGTTTGCCCATCCAATGTACCAGAAGTTTCCAAACATATTATGTAGATATTCAGTATTTCATGTTGTTGAATACCAGTAATATTGTATACCTCTAGGTGATCCTGCATCAACAAACCACATATTGGGTTTTATCTATCATTTTTAAATGCATGGCCCCAAAAGTTTTTGAAATGATCCCATGTATTTATGCTGAGAGGGTCCCTGATCCACCTCATCCAGTTTCTTGGCAAAACACTACCAATATATATGTAAGCATCACTTCATTAATTGTTTTTCAAAGAACTATGTGTGACCAAGTGGGGTTGGTCTACCAACATATCACACAAGAGAGTATCCAGTTCATTTTGTATTCCATAACTTTCTGTGTGATGAAGCACATGGAGCAGCCACTCAGTTTAGCTTCTCTCTCTCTCTCTGCTTTCACACCCACACTGTCTTTGTCTTAAACTCTCACACTCGCTCCCTTTCTCTTATCAGTAGATCTTTCACTCTGGACCAATGCTGGGGCGACCCTTGTCCTGAGTGCCTTAAGCTAACCCCAGACGACAAGTATTTATAGCTTTATCCCCAAACACTAGCCCACGTGTCTTAAAAGAATCTCCCCATTACCTTAAGTATGTAGGGAAAGATAAACCTTAAACACCCTGTCACATATGTATAAGTGACATTTTAAATGATGCAACATAATTATGTAGTTCCAGTGGAAGAAAACTGTTGAAGCCCCGTACATGAGTATTTTAATGCTGTTGCTAAATGTGTTGAATACCTCTGCATTGACTAAACATCAGGTTTTTCTCCAAACTGAAACTTGATATTTGCTCCTCATTTTAAACTATATTTGATTGTTTTGTTTGTTTAACATCATACTAAGTTGTACGTATGTGTAGGATAAAGCACGACTCCGAGGTTATGGTTGGGAAAGTAAGACCCGAGACCGGAGGGTGGGTAGAAGTAAGACAGAGAGCGCGTAGCGCTCGAAGCCATACTTCTCTCCACCCAATGGTCGAGGGTTTACTTTCCCAACCATAACCGAGGAGGAGCGCTTTATTATACATATAAACCGTCAATGATGGATAATTAGATGATCATGTAATGAAGTCTACATAACAGTAACTGAAGCGCTAGTAAAATCATTTGAATGACAGAAGGCCTAACTATAAATACATAATTCAACCCTTGTTCTTTGTCGGCCTGGTGGCTGTGAGGTAGAGTGTCTGCTTATAAATCTGAAATGTGCGTTTCCAATCATGCTAGGGAAAACATTTGCACATTTAAGTTGATCTTTGACGATATTTTTCAGTTGATTTCAAACACTAACATATCATCTGAATTTGAATGTTGATGTTAATATAGAGTTAGGAAAAAGTAAAACTTGGGAAGAGGTCTTACTTACAAAAAGTAAAACCGGGGAATAGGTCTTAGTTACGAAAAGTAAAACCTGGGAGCTAATAGAAACCTCAAATGTGGTTATTCCGGGAAAAGAAGCCATGTCTAATATAAAGTGAGAAGCAGCCTTCAGGTTTATATGAAGGTATACCCAATTTTCTGAAAAGTGTGAAAAAATGAAACCAGTTGTAGCTAAGCAAATATTATAAGTTTAGAAAATCCTTGTCTTCAAAATTTATCTATCACAGAAAAAAGACTAAGTTTTGTACCTCTGGTTCTTCAGGTCAGTGTTACTGGATAAGTGTCAGGTAATCAAAGAATCTTTTATTAATTAATTGGCAAAATTCTTGTTTCTTCTTTTTCAGTTTGGACTCACAGAATTTTTTGTATTTGTGGCATCACCAAGTCATAAAAAACATGTCATCAATTGCGTGACAATAACATCTGAAAACTGGTCCTATAAAATGGACCACTTCCATGGTAACATTTGGAGGTTTGCAGTTAGATACCCATCCAATGAGAAAACAGATTCTTACTTCTATCAAGTATCCTATTCGCAAAAAGGCCGTCTTTGGGACTCCCATACATTAACTAATGGATGCACTCAAAATGTCAGAATTGGAACAGTTCATCTGGACTTTTATGAACTGCTTGATGTTGCAAGAGGTTACATTGAACACATTGCAGTAATCATCTCGCGATGTAAATCTCAGATGTTGAAAGAGTCAATTGTACAAGTTGAAAGCCTTTCTGATTTCATTTATAAGAAACATGATTTTGTAACATTGACAGACATTCTTGATGCTTTACGAAAATACATTGACAGAAAAACTTATCTGTCCAGTGATGCATATGCTGTCTTGTCATATATGTTTGGGAAGTTGATGTTTCTATTCCACATTTCAAAGAGAACAAAATGTTTTGATCATGACCTGTGTATGGGAATTCTTCGCAGTTTCCAGAACATGAGGCCTGAATCTGTTCCAGGAACCTCACTTGATGTCTTTGCAGCGGTTGCAGAATATATCACCCACATTGCTTTTCCAGAAGAAAAGTGGAAGGTGTTGAAACTCCTAGAATATGCCTTCCCATTCTTGCCAACAAAGTTTTTTTCAAGGAAACTTAGTGAATGTATTCAGTACTTGAGATCTGAAAGTTTGTGCAAAGATGTGAAAAGTTTGGTACAAATCATCAGACATATATCAGAACATTTTCACAGAGATGAGGAAGGTTGCCATGACCTTGTGCTGAAAATTCTCCGACACAGTACAGTACAACAGGTGAAGATGGTAAAGGATGAATGTACAAAATTTCTTTCCAAAGAAGAAATAGAAGACTTGTTTCAAATGAAGGTGGTGCAAGAGATGAAACATGTTGGAAAGGGAAACACTTTGAACAATTACTGGATCTTTATGGAATTATAGAGGAATCCTCACTGACAGATTCTGTATGTGACCAGCTAAGAAGCACATGCTTAGCTATGATAACAAATTCACAAATGAAAGATGAGGTGAGTGTAGATGCAGCAATGAAGCTGGTCTCCTCCCCACATTTGTTCAGTCAACCAAATGATCGCAGAGAAGTTCTGAAATACTTGACTGCTTCTAAGAATGCTCTTCTACATGGATTGTACATAGATCTGCTCAAAGTACAGTACTTGGACAAAGACAGTACCACAGCTGTCATAGCAGAGTGTACTCAGTGTTGGTTGGACACAGCAATAAGTAATCTTGGTGCGGGAAAATCCTATGGGAAGAAAGTAGATGACCTTGAAAAAGTTTACTCGAAGCTAGAATTGGCCTTGTCACTACCACAGATTACTGAAATTGAAGATTTAACCCTATCTCTCAGAGAAAAAGCATTTGGTTTTCTCCACCAAATAAGTGTACATGATTTGCTTAACAAGTTGAGCAAGACAGACATGTTGCAAAATTCAACCGTTTTATCAGTTTTTCAAGAGCATCTGCAGCAACACCTTTTCAAAGGAAACACACATAGGTCTGGAATTCTATCTGATATCACAAGCTTGTCTACTAAGGATGGCAATGTGTACACCTACAGGAGGTAAGATAGCCAATAATTATTACATAGCTAGTCTGCCCTATCTTGTCAGCACCAATGGACATGCACATGTTGTTAGTTTCTGGTCATGTGACATATAATCACATGTACCCCTTTTGAAATGGCAGAAATGGATAAGCTTGAGTACAGAGCAGTGACTCGTACTGATGTCAATAGCTAATCAATGTGCTTTGCAGGATGGCTCTCAAGGACCCAAAACTTATGACTGCTTATTTTCTATAACCCCTTGCATATCTGTGGGTATTTTTGATGCAATATAATTTGAGGATATGACAGATGATTATCAGTGTTAAAAACTTTGATATCCGGAGTACAATGTATTTTCAGATGCTTGGTAATTTGAAGGGATAACTTATTGTATAAGTATATAATTATCACAACATCCTTTCCTCTGTTGACAGCTTAGGAAAATCATAAGTAGCGTGTGGATTGGTGACATCATTCATCTTGTCAGATACTCATATTTGCTTCCTAACAGAACCATACTTGATGTTTTGTCATTTCTGTAAAGCTTCTTGGAAGTAGTAGTCGTTAGAAACTCAGATTCTGGCAACAAACTCATCAAAATGCATGTTTTTAGATCACTAGCTTTTAGCCTGGCAAATTGTTCGTCATCCATTCATATAGGTCTGTCATTTCATTTGCATTATCATCTCAGTGGGGTAGCCAAGTGGTTAAACCATATGCTCATCACGCCGAAGACCTGGGTTTGATTCCCCACATGGTCACAATGTTTGAAGCCTTCAGAACTTCATATCTTATTTTAAACATGGTGGACATATTTAGAATATCTTTTTCTAACATAATTTATTTCTACATATACTATTATGAATTTTGCAACAGGTATAATATGACCCCTTTTACAAACCTTCAAATAACTTATTTCTGTATCTTAGGCCAGGCAAATTAGCCATTTTTCTGTCCACGGTCGGAAAAAAATGATGAAGAAATGAAACTTAGTATATATATTCTATCAACCTTCCTGCATAACATACTAAGAGTCCCCTAAAATCCCACTTGAGCTAAATCCACAGTGCACGTGCAAACATGCATACCCTACGATAATTTTTCTTCTAAGAAAATCCTGTTTTAAAAACAGAAATGCTCATAAAATCTTTATTTATGAATATAATCTCATCCAATTTGACAGATATAATGGATTATAGTGCACTTATATAAAAATACTTTAGAAAATAGAAAATAATTATTTGCCTCACTTGCACATCCCATTTTGCTCTAAAAATAGATTTCTAGGAAATTGTGACCCTGGGTTTGAATTTTGGCCTGAAACTTTTTGATATGAAGTTTAATTGGTCTTATACAGATATGAATAAATTGCCCTATGATGTATCTATGCAATGGTACCAAATAGTTGGAAGACATATTTCATTTAAAAATTTAAATTGAAACTGGCAAAAGGCAAACTTTCATTGATTTGCATACCAGCCAGAAAAATGTGTTGCCCCCAGCCCTACCCCCTCACTTTGTAATAACCAGTATGCATGAGTCTTATCACAATAATATTCATCAAAGTTACTGATACCTGTTTGATGGGCATTTTAGAAGTTGAGTTGGTGAAGAATAATGACAATTATTATGGATATACAACTTCTTTTTGTCTGTGGAGGCTACGTTTCGACATAGGTTCTGATAAGTAAACATTTTAATACTTTCATGGCAAATTGAACATTATCTGAAAGTTTTAATATAATAACTATGCTTATAATTATAATTTCATTTCCATTGAAAATAGCAACAATTATATAAGCACTGATACATAACCAACAATTGTTTCACAAAAACCCACGAATGGCTGAAACAGTTCCCTGAGGCAGTAAACTACCCCTTGCTCTTTTCTTCCATAATTGCTCATCAACTATCATCTTCCACTTAAGGGGTCCTAAGATGCATAGAAGTGATCAAGTGTCTGACTTTTTGTCAGCGAATAATTTAACATAAATAGTTAGCAATTAAGTTGAACAGCCTCCATTCTGTGTAGCTTACTTGGTTGGTAAGCAATACATATCTTGCCACAAACCTTTCTCTTCCAAGTGATTTGAGAAGGCCTCTGGTATTACCATTCACTGAAGCAAATGCAGTAACAGTTTTAAAAAGTTTTTAGTTTGATGGACCAATTTAATTTGATGGTTTGTGAGAAATTGATTGCATTTGCTTCCTACAACATTTCTATCTTTGCTTCCATATTTTCTCTTCAAGATAGTTTTGAGAGGGTCTCTAGCAATGACATACTGAAGCACATCCACATTTCAACCTGCTAGTTCCACGGACAAGTTCTATTTCACAATGGATCCAACAGAGTGTTGTATCATATGCAGCAAAAGTTTATCTCCTGGTGATACTGTCACCGTCACAAGAGGTCTAACTACCTTACTGCAAAGTAGTATAAGGCGCAAAGATGGAATTGCTGAAAAATGATCTGGAATATCTTCAGTTTCAGTTCATGTAAACTGCCGCAATTATTACACTCGTGAATCTTCTATTTTAGCAGCTGTGAATCCCTCACCTCGAAACAGTTTCCTTAAGATCATCACTGTCAACTTTCAATTTCAAAATGAATTGCTTGTTCTGTGGAGAAAATTGTGATATAGTTTCTGAGACTAAAAAACCTAGAGACATGGGGGATATTTTTGAAGTTCGAATTATTAGTTCCAAAGATTCCATTCTTGACATGGCTGAATATTGTGGGGTTAAGCTGTTACTGAACATATATCAAGTGTCAAAGATTTAGTGGCTGCCAAAGCCAGGTATCACCATAGATGTTATAAGAAATTCTTTAACTGACCACGTTCTATCCGAGGGAAGGGTAGACCTGCAGATGAAAAACTTAGCAGAGCCTTTGATGATTTGTTTGAATTTCTGGAACAAAATGATGAATGTCAGTATTCAACAGAGGATCTCGTGAGCAAATTTCAGAATAACAGAATTTCATGTTGATGGTTAGATTGAATGTAGTGAAAAAACCCTGAGATCAAAATTGCTAGCTCACTTTGGTGATGGTGTTATCATTTCTAGCATTCGTGGAAGGAAACCGTTACTTTGCATTAGAAATACTGGCCACAAGATGCTTAGCGATGCATGCTGTTCTCAGAAGTTAGGGAACCTTGAAGAAGAACAGTTGCACATAGTGAAAACAGCTGCAGATATCATACGGGAGGGCATCAGGTCAATGCTTTGTGATACTAACCATTACACTCCTGCTGATGATGCTTTTCATAGTCACATGATGAATGTGCCTAATACTCTCTGTTTTGGTCAAAAGGTTTACAAACAAAGATAAGAAAGGTGATGTTACTACAAAGCAAAGGAAGGCATCTGTTATATGTCACCAAATACTCTCAGGAACAAGAGAAAGATCATTTCTTTCTATGATACAACTTGGTTTAGCCATGTATATTCACCGACAAAGTGAATTTAAGCACCTTCTGGATGTTATGTCAGCCTGGGAGTGTGTGCACCATATAATGAGGCTATTTCCTATGAACATTCTGCAATGGCTGCAGATCATGAGATTGGTGAAAATGCCTTCATGCAATTTGTCTTTGACAATGCAGATTTAAAGTTTGCAAACTTGATGTATATGCACATTCATAGTATGGGTGAAATCATGTGTGTCACACCAGGTAGTTCTGTCTGTATATCTGATGTTATCAAGCATAACAAAGCTGTTACAGTGGACAATGTCAGGCCCAAGTTATTTGAGAGTTTGACTTGTTCATTTCAGAGCAAGAAAGGTTTGCTTGGTTTGACTGTTGATGATATTTCCCGATGTCAGAAAGCTGACCTTTTCTAGCTCTGTGCATATTCTTTTGGATACACTTTGCATGAGTGGAGTATGGTTGAAATTGGAGGACACTCCCTGCTGGAGTGGATACATGGAGTGTGCCAGAAGTGTTGACAATTATGAAGTATCCAAAGTGATCCCATTGCCATTTGTCAACTTGCAGGCATCAAATCCAGATGCAATATATTCTGTGCTGGTATATTCTGCTGACAAATGCAGGAAACATGGACAGAAAACATGTTTTGTAACATTTGGCCAACCTCTATATGAGAAAGCTGTTGATATTGTAGCTTCCCACCAGAACAAACGTACTCCAGCTTCAGTTGTTGTCAGACTTGGTGGTTTCCATCTCTTTAAGTCTTTCATGGGTTTGGTCAGTTATATAATGGATGGCAGTGGATTGAAAGAGCTATGGTCATTCATCTATGCCTCCGACTCTATGGAAAAAATGTTGACAGGTCACGCTTATGCAAGAACATTGAGGGCTCATACTCTGACACAGTTAGCAATAGCTGTTATTGCCTTGCAGAAGGTCAGCCTGGATGAAACAAATAAAGCTTGTCTGAAGACTTTGTATAAGGATGTTCAAACCAACCATGTGATCCCTGATGACCTTTCAGCAATTGCCAATGTCACAAACGTTGTCGAAAAACTGACTTAAGTTATGGAATTTGAATTGTCTCAAAGCAGAACTGCCATGTTGTGGTGTCAATATTTTTAGCAAGTTTCTTTGATACACCAGTTCATTCAAGCTGATTGGATGCTGCCTGCAAGATGATACCATATTTTCATGCTGCAGGAGGGGCGGTGGGGTAGTCTAGTGGTTAAAGCGTTGGCTCGTCACGCCGAAGACCCGGGTTCGAATCCCCACATGGGTACAATGAGTGAAGCCCATTTCTGGTGTCCCCCGCCGTGATATTGCTGGAATATTGCTAAAAGCGGCATAAAACCAAACTCAGTCAGTCAGTCAGTCATGCTGCAGGACATATTGCTTATGCCAAAGTGCCCATTTGTATGTTCAACAGATGTCACAACTGGGAGATATTATGCCCAAGGATGAATTTGAAGCTTTTACCAGGTTTTGGTGGTTTTACTGTCAGGCGAAGTGACAAGGTGTGGGCTGGCATCTGGACAGACAAGACAATTGAACAGGTTCTCATGCCTGTGCCTCATTAAAACAGATGATGACTTTTTATCCTGTTTGAAATATATATGAACTTTCTCCATGTCCTCCATCAGTATTGGATGAGTACTCAATGAGAAAAACAGAAAAATCTGTCATGTACTCTGTCATTGATTCTTTGCCAGGCAAACAAAGCTTTCCACATGATGATGAAGTTCCTCCAGATGCTATGTACATAGTTGATGGTGGATACTTGCTGATAAGAGTGATATGGCCCCAAAGCAGAACATACAATGATGTTTATGATGCTTATCTGACATATGTCAATAGACGCTTTGGAAACAATTGCATCATTGTGTTTGATGGGTATGCCAAGTCTGTGTCCACAAAAGGTGTTGAACAGAGTCGGAGAGCATCTAGATATCTCAGCACTGATATTGTCTTCAATTCTGAAACACCATTGACGGTCAAACAGGATACATTCCTGTCCAATGGTAAAAACAAGTCACATATGATAAAGGCTCTGACACAACAATGTCATGAGCTCAATATCCCAGTGAAACAAGCCAGTGCAGATGCTGACCTACTCATTGTACAAACAGGTATTGATTGTGCTGATAATGGGCACAAAGCCATTGTTGTTGGGACTGATGTTGATCTTCTGGTGCTCCTCATCCATTTGTGTGCTTCAGAAAGATTGTACTTCCTTAAAACTGGGAGTGGAAAGACTGCTGATCGTCTATATATCAGTTCGATGTTATGTCAAGCACTACCAGAGACCTTCATTTCTGGGCTGCTCTTTTCCATGCCATGACTGGTTGTGACACTACATCAGCCTTGTACAGACAGGGAAAGAAATAAGCTGTCATGTTGTTCACAAAACGACAGGACTTGCAACCACTTGTCAATTCCATAATCAATTATCCACAAAGGATATGGTTGCGTTTGCAGGAGATTAGTTCTTATTGGCATTGTATGGAGCACCTAAGTCTGTTAAATCCCTAAATGAGCACAGATATCATTGTTTCACAAGAGCCATTGCCAAGTGTCCCATTCACCCACAAATGCAGTTATCTGCCTTGCCACCTACATTGGCTGCGGTAAGAGAACATAGTCTGAGAGTTTATCTGCAAGTGCAGCAATGGCTTGGAAGAAGTCATCCACCAAATGAATTGGAATGGCAAACTGTTTGTGGCCAGCTCAAGCCAGTAACAACCTGTGACCCCCCAGCACCAGAGACATTGATCAACATGATCAAATGCAATTGTAAAACAGGGTGTGAGCGTATGTATGGGTACAGAAAGGCAGGATTGAAATGTTTGCGTCTATGTGGATATTGTCACGGTAGTTGCAGCAATTCAAACACAGTATACCTTGTAGAAGAGGATGAAGAAGATCATGAACTACCATCTGATGAAAAATCTCATGAATTGTCTTCCAGCGATGCTGATGGGAGTGAAGTTGAAGATGAGCCACAGTCTTCAACTTCCTCCAGACTGACAAGGAAAAGAAAATGATCTTTTTAGATCTTTAATCATACGTGTTTGAAGATGTCCTGTTACATAATCTGTAAATAGTGTTTGATAGTCTTGGTAATCTGCAGAATATCTGTTATTTTTAGGTACTGTCAGGTTTAGTTATATTTTCTTGAAATTGTGAGTATCTAAGGGCGATAATCTTTTTAAAGTATGGAAATGGCTACTTCAGTGTGTTTTTACAAAATTATAAAATTTCACTTGCTTGATTTTTGGGTGTAAAAAATCAAATTATTGCAGTTGTTGGGCCATATATTGAGTTTTCATTGACTTCTAAAAATGCCACAAATTTGCAAATATTCAGTTTCAGTCAAAATGTAAAAAAATGATTTTAGTAAGTTATATTTGGTGGTTTGTGGTGAAAAAGACATTGCACAATACACTTCAAGGTCTTTTGGACATATCTAAGCCTTATCATTATACCTATAGGTCTTTGTGTCACCCAAGGGTATAAACATATACAAATTCTATTTTTAGCACACAAAAAAGGCCACTACTCTGAAATGTAATGTTTTATCTTTGTGAAATAATAGTCAATAATCTTGAAATCTATTCACTCAGTTGTCAAACATTTATGTACTTATGTACAGAAATAAAGAAGTTGTGACTATTTTATCAAACACAATTGGTCTTATGGGTTGCATAGGTTAGCAATGTTTGCATGTGCACTATGGATTTAGCTCAATTGGGATTTTAGGGGACCTTTAGTATGTTATATAGGAAGGTTTGTAGAACATGTCTGCCAAGTTTCACTTCTTCATCATTTTTTTCTGCCCTTTTTGCTAATTTGACTGACCTATCTGTACTGCAACCTGGAGTTAAGAATGTTTCTTTGTAGCATGTCATATACCGATAAATAATGAATGACACAGAGATATTTAGAAGGTTAGAATATCCCCTTTCCCTTTTCCTTCCATTAGATACATGATGTATCCTATTTCTTTATACTTCATTTGTTCCTGACAGTGTTTTTAAAAACAAATTACCCTAAGCATTTTAAGCAAAATTAAAATTCTCCCTATGATTCAAATTCTTTTTTTCATACATAGTATATTTATTATGATTTATAAGGAGTATTCATTTTCTGTTTTGGATGTTTAAATATAATAAATAATGCCACTTATTGGCCAGTATGTTAACTTAGAAAAAGATTCTGAGAAGACCATTCATTTGTGCTGTCAACTTTTGGCTTGACTCTAAAACCTTACGATATGCCCATTCCTCTTTTGTACTGGACTCCAGAATACTGTCAAAATCTGCACAAAAAGTGATATATTGCTGGGTTCAGCTAACACACCAGCGAATAAGTGTTTTCCTCCATCCTAACAAGGATTGACATTCTCCATATTCACGGAAAGTATTTTATGGAAGAAAATTAATACCATGTGGATTCGCAAAAAAAACAATGGATTTGCTTGATTTTTTAATCTCGATAACAGACCATGTCAGGACCAATCACCAAGCTGAACACGCTTAGTGTGATAATGGTGTAAGAATCTACATTGAAACATTGCTCCATGCAATAAACATGATAAACAAAAAGTTGTCATCCATAAACTTGAAGGGTTTACTCCCAATAGTTAGACGTCCCTAATTGTCAGACACTGGACTAGGGATTAATTATAAATAAATATAAATGGGAATGCCACAGTGGGAAATTTCAACCAGTTAGTTGAACCTAAGGAAAACTGTTATTGTGTATAAATATCTTGTTCTTTCAAAAAATCTTAATCAAATTTCTGTCAATAAGCTACTGAAGCCATGTATTTTTAATTGTTATACGTAGAAGTCGAATGCTAAACTTCTCAATACAATGTCAACTATATCTTTGATTCAGTGGAAACCAATATTGCTGTATGGTCTTGAAATGTGGGGAATAAAAAAAATTGAAGATGTACATATAGGTTTTATGAGAAAATTATTACCTTTAAAGAAATGTAATAAAGTTCTGTTCTGTTATTTATTTTATGGGCCATTCCTATTTCATTAAGTGGTAACAGGCAGGGGATTGCGCACTCAAGCAGATGGTTTGTTGTTTTAACCTGTCTGACTATTGGGATGTCTGACAAATGGGAGGATACCATTTGAATGATTCATTTTGGGCTTTTGAGTACATATAGTTTCACATAATTCTTAAAAAATTATTCAAGACATGAACCAAATAAACCTCTATTCATTTCTTTCAGGTTACATGCAAGAGTGATCACTTTGGCTGTAAATTACTCAGGCCTTGAGGAATGTCCTGATGAAAATGATGCCTTGATGTTGATGCTACAGAACTGGCAGTTTTGGAAATTGGTTTTCAATATTAAAGGTGAATTCCAGACAGGCATAATGCAAAATCAGCTTGCACAGAAAGCCAAGAAAATAGGAAGAATGTTCAAGGCCAAGCTGGAAAATAGAACACTTGCGGTGAAGTTCTTGAGAAAACTTACAGATGGCAATGACAAGCACATTCATGGGTTTTGTGAAATTGTAGCTTCAAGTTCAGATACTGACTATGAAACAGTAAGAGGTGAACTAACTAAGCACATCGAAGCAATTACTGTTGCTGAAGGAGATCAAACATTGCTGACCACTGTACTGAAAAAGATCAGTTCTTTCAATGGCATTAATGTCCCAGATGTAGATCTTGCTCAGGATATCCTTAAGAGGAAAATATCCCAATTTCAACAAGGTGATTTACCAGTGAAATGTATTTTAGATCATACACACTGGGATCCATTCATAAGTTTCCTTACACACTCAGACAAAATGGCAATAGTAGTTCAGTCTGCCATCTATTGGCAAATATGCATGGAATTAACAAAAGAATTGTTATCAAAGATGGATGTTTCACAAACTGACACAACTGCAGATCCAGTGGAGGATATTTGTTTTGTGTTTGGAGACACAAAAGTTTCTGAAATACCTGAGGTAACACTAAGAATATGTGCCATGCTTGTTGAGGATGGACTAAGGAACTATAAGAAGATCTGGGATCCCCTATTCAAGGAAGAGGATGCACATTTAGGTCGTCTTCTGATTATTGTCGAGACAAAAGATATCACAGAAGAAATCAGGCTTGCTGAAAAAAGTTACAATTCTATCTTTCCCAAGTGGATAGTGCATGCCTTAGAAATAGTCCGAGCCTACTTACAGTATGACCAGAAGTTACATGTGATCAGCAAAGTAGTTGCTATTCTTCAACATAATTCTGTAGAAGATGAGTCATTTGCTGCGACAGTATGTGCATTTTCAACACTCAGAGATGAGAATTTTGATCATATTTCCTTGCATCAGCTACATCATATAAGAGAGCTGTTAGATGAAATTGAGGCATTAGTTAAAGAAGATCTCCAGCATGTTCTGAAGGAACTTTCATCATCAAAAGGTTTGATAGACTTCTTAACGGATAAACCAATGGATGATTTGCATAATCTTATTGATGCTGTTGAGGAACACTCAGAGCAGTCAATTCAAGAGTCAACAGTTTCTGCATTGATAGCTGTGAAAAGATTCCTTAGTCCCTTGATGCATTCAGGATCAGACAAGACAGTACTTCAAGTACTGGCAGTACTGAGTAAATCAGTAAATGATTCTCAGGTCGAAAAACTAGCAGAAAAGATCAACATTTGTAAGACACATTTGCATGGCCTTAAAGCTCTGTTCAATAATGTAGCCAACAGGGGAGAAATGACGAAGGATGTTGTGAAAAACACATTGAAGAAAGGTGCAAAAATTTATTTCAAGTTAGATGAAAATGGATGCAGTGTAAAGCTGTCATACAAAAGTCATGGTGTGCTTACAACCCATACCAGAGCTGATTTGAATGATCTCAGAAGCAGAGTATTACTGATGGTGAATACTGAATCAAAGAGAAAAACTCCGCGATATCAGAAGGACAAAGTCCAAATGGAATATGAATCATTCATTATCAAAGTGGATGAGGCGATCAATATTGCTAACATACTAGACAGACTGCGTCATTCAGGTTATCAAGATTGCATGAGTTTGCTGAAAGGGGGACTTGACATAAGTCATCTTGAGGCCCACCGTGATAGTCTTGAAACAACCTTGACCGTCTGGCAGAGTGCTCTATCTGATAGCAGACAAACTCATTACTGGCTGAATTTTTTCTATCCTGAACAATTGAGAACAATTCATTTGTGCTTACAAGAAGGGAAAGATGAAACTATGACAAGGAATTTGCTTTTCTATACTGGTTGCCAAGCAGCAAATCTAAATTCTGCTAGAATGACCTACCAGACAGTATGTGCTTCAGTGGACGTGATAGACATACAAGATACTTTTGGTTTAAAGACAGTTGGGAAAACCTTAGATAAAGTACTGTCTGAACTGACTTGTCAGAAAATACCGTTTCCCAAAGACATGTTTGGACCAAAGCAACCAGTTCGGATGGCTGATGCTGTTCGGCCTGGAAATATTTTTGTTGCTAGTTTGGATGAAAACAGCAGCATGATTATTCCAACAGTGCTTGCATTATATCAGAACACTACAGGACACATTCCTCTCCCTCATCAACTTCTCTTTTGTCAGGAAGATACACAGTGGGGAGATATTGAACTTTTGTTAAATAGATGCCATGGATCCCAAAACCTAACAAACCCACAGCTGTTTGTTATTGTGTCTGTTGAGAAACTATCCAATGATGTCCAGTTTCTGCTTGTTGAGAGCTTGAAAAGTCTAGCACACAGCAATGTTTTAATGGCAGTGATTTGTGAAGGTTCTCATCATCCATTTCTGGATAATTTTGGAGATAGTGTGAATCAGGTGCAGCCATTGTCTGAATCACCAATGGAAACATGTCTGCAAAATCTATTTCCAAATGTAGTTACTGTTACATCAGACCTTCCTGGTCAAGGAAAATCAGAAACAATACAAGAACGAGCTCACACGGAAAATCTGGACATTTGTACTTTACACCTCAGTGGGGATGTTACACCCCCAGAAATGATCAGAAAGTTAAGATGTCTTGATTTGTCACCATCTCATGTTCTCCACCTTGATATTGGTTTGATAACAAGACCTTTTGACTTAGAAAAGCTGCTTTTTCAGCTCATTGTTCTGAAGACTATTTCACATAAATCTGACTTGTTCACCTTGGTGACAAGTCACATTTACATTGAAATTGCAAATACAATTGATAGTGTTTTGCGAAATTCACTTCAAACTATCACATTCTTTAAACGAGAACATGTGAGATGGCAAAACTATGACAATTTATGTGTCAGTCAGGAAATCTGCAGTCCAGTTCAAGTTGTTTGTAATTTCCTAAATGTGTACGAAAATGGGGAAATGAATGTTGTTGATTTGTACTTCAGTGGTGAAAAACAGTGTAAACCATTGAAAGAACAACGCTGCCAAGAACTATTGAGATGCTATTTCTCATTTGACACTGATCTGTCTTTCACAGTTGTTCAAGTTTTCTTAAATCTTTTGGCAGATCAGTTGAAGAAATTTTCCTGCAGTCATTTCTTTCGGACACAGACAGTAGCTGGAATGCTTGGAACTCATCAGGTAAATGATGTGAAAACCCAGGTATTGAAAGCTTTGCTTGAAATGTCTAAAGAATTTGCTACAAGGTCAATGCAGTCTAGCAATCAAAATGTCAGTGACAAACACCAAATGGCAAAAACATTGGCAACAGCACAAGCAATGACACAACGTGTAGACAGTATGATTCAGTGGTCTCAAAGCAATCACTTGATTGTTGCATTTCATAATCAAGACATCCAGACTCTGTCAGCTCTCTACAGGTCAAAACAGATGGTACAAGCTAGTGTCAGAAAGTTATTTGAAACTCAAATAGGAAGGGGAATTGCCAGAGTTTTCTGATATGCCTCAAACTGAACTGCAAAAGATTTTGCAGCATGTTGCACGGTTCAAACAAGGGTGTATTCCACAAGAGGAATTGAACAAAATAGATGAAATGTATGCTTTGACACCGGATAATCTGTTGAAAATGGTATTGATTGTGCTTCGAGTGCGTGCACATATTCCTGTGATACTCATGGGTGATACAGGATGTGGCAAAACAAGTCTAATTCATTATCTGTCCAAAATTTGTGATGTGGTTTTCAAAGTACAGAACATCCATGCAGGTGTTGAAGAGTCTGATATAGTTGATTTTGTGCTTGAAAGTAATGCTTTTGCTCTGTCCAACATGAATGAAAGTGTGTGGGTGTTTCTAGATGAAATTAACACCTGCAATCACCTTGGATTGATTAATGATATCCTGTGTCATCACTGCTGTCAAGGGAACATTTTGGCACCCAATCTTATAGCAATGGCAGCCTGCAATCCTTACAAACTGAGAACTGAAGAGAGTATTTTCACTGCTGGTTTGGATAACAAAGTTTTACCTGATGAGCAGTCAAAGCTTGTGTACAGGGTGAATCCGCTCCCAGAGAGTATGATTGACTACATTTGGGACTATGGTAGCCTCAGCAAAACTGATGAAGAGTCCTACATTAGACGGATGATTAATAATGCAGTTTCAAGATACCCCGTCTCTTGTCTTGTGGAACTTCTGACAATGTCACAAGAATTCATCAGAAAAAAGGAACAGACTGATTCCTGTGTGAGCCTACGAGATGTCAACAGATGTAGAAATCTGATAAAGTGGTTTCAAGAAACACTAGAAATGAAGTCTGGACTTATGAATAAACCGTTGCCTCAAAGCAGAAAATTTGAAATTAAGGCAGTCATTTTGGCTTTGGCACATGTCTATCACTCAAGATTGCCTGATACCTTAAGTAGGAAAGCATACAGGGAGAACCTGTCAAGAGTGTTTAAGAAACATGGAGACAGTGAAAGTGAGACAGACATCTTCAAGATAATACATGAAGAACAAAGAGATATTATAGAGAGAATGGATATGCCTGATGGCATTGCAAAAAACACAGCTCTACAAGAAAATGTGTTTGTTATCATGATAAGCATTCTTAATAGAATTCCAGTTTTCATTGTTGGAAAACCAGGCTGTAGCAAGTCACTGTCATTGCAGTTGATAAAAAGCAATTTACGAGGCCTTGATTCAGCTGATCCATATTTCCAGACGTTACCCCAGTTGTACTGTGTTGCTTTTCAAGGATCAGAGTCATCCACCTCAGATGGCATCATCAAGGTCTTTGAGAAAGCGGAACGTTATAGGGAGTCAACTAAAGAGGAAAATGTTCTTCCTGTAGTTGTTTTAGATGAAATTGGTTTGGCAGAAACATCAAAATTTAACCCTTTGAAAGTTCTTCACAGTCGGCTAGAACCTGGGCATGGTGAGGTCCCAAATGTTGCAGTTGTTGGTATATCCAACTGGGCTCTTGATGCAGCAAAGATGAACAGAGCTATCCATCTATCTAGGCCAGATATGGACGCAGATGAACTCTATCACACAGGACTGTCTATCAGTGAGGCAACAGTTGAAGATTGTGATGAAGGAGGGAGTCTGTTACATCTAAACGATAACAACATCAGTAATCAAACAGATAAAGTACTCATAAAAGCAATAGCTGATGCATATTTCCAATATGTCAATGACCAGCGTTTCAAAAACTTTCATGGTCTTCGAGATTTCTACTCTCTAGTAAAGTATGTGTCTCGAAAATTCAAATCAATGACAGTAGAACATTTTAATGATGACCAAATGAAAGTTGATCTGGTTGTGAGAGGTTTACTCCGCAACTTTGGAGGCCTTTCATCGGAAGTTCAATCTGTTATAGCAGTGTTTAAAGAGCACCTAGGTGTGATACTAAACAATGGAGCTGTTTCTGGTGAACTTGTGTTACCTTCCACCCTTGAACTGGTCCATGAGAACATTGAAGACAGATCAGCTCGTCACTTACTTTTGGTGACAAGAGGGGAGTCAGCTCTGAGCATTGTTGAAGATTTACTCAGGCGAAGTGAACGGCAACATGTCACAATTTTAGGAAGCCATTTTGATGAAGATCTGAATGATGACTACAGCTATCGCATTCTCAGCAAAATAATACTGTGCATGGAACAGGGAGTTGTTTTGATATTGAAAGACCTTGATAGCATTTATGGGAGCCTATATGATATGTTAAACCAAAACTACTCTAAAGTTGGCTTAAAGAAAACATGCAGAGTAGCACATGGAGCCTATGGTAACCCAGTGTGTCATGTTCATGAAGATTTTCGGTGCGTTGTTTTGGTTGAAGAAAACAAACTTGACTTGTCAGATCCACCGTTTCTGAACAGATTTGAAAAACAGTGTATCCGGCTTTCAGATATATTGACAGCTGATGAGAAAATTGTTGCTGAAGAATTGGAGGCATGGATGACTTCTGTCACAAAAGTTCCAGGTCATAAATTCAGAAGAAGTGACATGATACCCTTTGATAACCCTGACTTGATTGCGTCTTTGGTCCATTATTATTTTTCACACTGCAAAACAAACATTGACCATGAAAGCATAGTTGAGAACTGTAAGATGTTTCTGATCAAAGCTTGCACACCAGAGGGGATAGTTCGCCTTCAGCTAAGTCAAAAGTACAGTGAGGAACCTTGTGAAGTATTGAAATGGCAGGACTATTACTACAAGTTGCCTATACATGGGGGACTTCAGAAATTTGTTGATTATGCTCTATCAAGTTCTGAAACAAACATACAGAAAGGCAAGGAAATGATTTTCAGTCATACCAATGTTCATACCAATATTCTTTCATGTCTGGACGTGCCTTCTGAAATGTGTCAAGTAGAGAAATTGAGCTCTTTCAAGTCTGAGAAACAGTTGACAGCCAAGCTACATGCATTTTGGTGTCTCCCTGAAAAGAAATTTCTTGTAATACAATGCTTAACAAGCTGTGATAGAGACAACATTCTTTTGATGAAATCCCTTATAGAAAAAGAGCTTGGAGAATACAAATGTGAAAATGAGCCAGGCAAAGAGAAGTATGTATTTGTTATACTTCATATGGACAGAAATGATTCTGATGAATCATTTAATCTTCTGAACTACTTGAGTGGATGGAATTTGACAGTTGTTGATACAGTTGAGCCCAAGAAAATTTCCTTGACTGATTTTCTGTTGAAACAAAAATTTGAACTTGTCAATGAACTGAAGCACATGGTACCACTAGCTCACTATCTCTTTTGGTCATTTACTTTGATAAAATACCACAGCCGTGCCAGGAGTTTGACAAGTCTTAGAAGCCTGATTGAGAACATTTCTACCAATTCACATCTCATGGAATTCATAGAAGGAGAAGTGTTTTCTACTCTTGAAACACAATTCAACCAATCTGAAACAGAGAACTGGCAAGTCCTTGTGGCATGTGATCAGCTGAAACTTTACACATGTCTGACATTGCATGGTGCACTTGAGAATGAACTGATGGAATGTATGAAATATCCACTGGCAGCAATGGTCTATAAACTCGAGGCAGCAAATGCTTGGGATTGTGCTGTTGGACAAGTGGAGTTTCAAGAACAAAAGTTTGAATGCTGGAGGCAGCTTGTTTCAACTTTATCAGTTTTAGACATTCGTGATGTGCCTCACCCACAAGGACCAGAGTCTTACCCTCTTATGGAATCAGCTTTATTGCTTGTATGTCCTTTCAGCAAAATGTTTATTGAAAGGATTGAAAGCCTTAAAGGATTGTGCACAGAAACTATTGCTATGGAATACCCAGGCATGGAAATTGATGACATTGAAGAAAATCTCTCGAAAGAAATCAGTAGCAGACTTCAAAATCAAGTTTATGACATAGCTCTTGAATTATTTGAATATTCATATGGAGAACAACATTTCAGTGATTACCTCCGTGACTTTGTAACCATAATGTATTCAAATGTCAACACTGATATGGAAGAAAGTCTAAAAGTCAGGGTTGTAGAATGGTCATTTTTATCAAGATTTCAAGTAGATGGACTACCATTTGAAGCAGCAGTGACAAGTTTACATGTTACACATTGGCTTCATTTGAATAAAATAGAAGCAGAGTTGAAACTTGTGGGTGCTTGTTTAAGTATAAGTGAAGTGAGTGTGGATGATGTCCTTCAAACTTTGAAGCCAGTGCACATGTTGTGTCCAAGTTCAGCTGCAGACGAACATTCTTCATCAGCGACCCAAGTCTCACTGAAGACTGACACTGAAGGGAAATCAACTGGTGGCTTTGGGATCATAAAAAGTACACATCAAGAAAAAAAAGAAGATCAGGATGTTGGAGCCGTTGGAAATCTCCTCTCTGAAACTGCATATGTCAAACCACAGTCAGATGTGATCAGTACTGAACACCACCACAATGTTGTACATGAAATGCCGGAATCTGAACTGGACATCAGTACCAACCTGGTTACATTTGCTTGTCAGAAACTAATTCCTACAGAAAATCTGCTTGAGACCTCAGCATTCCAATCATGGGTAGGAGGAGTCAGTCTTGTTTTGTCTTTGGCAAGTGAAGTATCATTAGAATCCAAAGTGTTTCAGTCATTACGGATGTGTAATGAATTTGCATTGCTTGTGTCAGTTCCACACAACACAGATAGAAGGTATCTTATTGAAATAGGGCATGCACTTGAATCAAACCAGGTTGAAAGTGATGTCATATTTAAGAAGATTCTTGAAGTAGTACACAAACTGAGTGAAGAGAAATTGGTTCCTACAGAAGCATTACAACATTTCTTTGCATGTTACATAAGCATATGTCATGCCACTGATCCAGAAACATCTGTAGTTGGTTTTGGACTTGAGGTACTTAAAGATTTGACAATTTTTCAAAGTACCTTAAACTATTTTGGTCCAACACTTTGTCAAATTCTGATGATAGAAATGCAAGAATGTGATTTGATCAATGATGACCTTCTCCAATACCCTGTACTAAGAAATCTGGACAGATGCATTCTGGAATTCCAAGAGAAAGGTGAACCAGACTCACAGTTAGCATGTCTTTGCATGGATGTCATTGAGACACATTTTACACAAGAGGGATTGGAGTTTGATGATGACAACCTGGACACCATGTTAAAGTGTGATGAAATGTACAAATGTGAGAGTTTTTCACTGAAACACCTTACAGCATTGGCTTATATAAAGACCTGTCTGTCAAGGTTAGCATGTGACATACAAAATGAAGAGACTGTTGCAATCCATGTCTTACAGAAGATGAATGGCATCCTACAGCTGGATTCAGATATTAGCAAATCTACCAGGGATATCAGAACTAAAGCCTTGCAGAACTATTTTGTCAAGGTACTTTCCCAACATGATGGGTTGAAGACATTTGAGGATACTCTATATTCTCAGTCAGAACATCTCCCATTTACCAATGAAGTGAAAATTGCAGATGGTGATAGACTTGTAGCACTTGAACTATGCCCAATGCAGATGACTTGGTCGGATATATTTCTTTCTGTTTCTGATGGTTATTATGCATTACCTAAGGACAATAGTGAAGTAAAAAGTGCACTTAATGCTGCCAGAACAAATCCTCAGTTCACCTACTGCGTGTTTGGTGTTGCCCTCCAACACATATACCTGGTAAAGACTATCAACCCTCTGACAGACACTGAAAGAACAGAAAGAGCAAAGATGTTCTGTGACTTATCAAAAGACATTCATAAGAACCAACTAAAAATGCTGGAGGCTTTATGCACATGTGATGAATTTAAATTCCCACTGCTGCAAATGGATAGCCATAAATCAGCCAGAGACCAACATCTTGTAACCTGGATTCTTCATCTAACATGCACAGTGCTTGCCTTCAATCCTACTGAAAACCAAATCAGCAGCACTGCCCCTTTGTGGTTAAGACTTCTTATGAAACCAGAACAAACATCAACATTGTACATCCCAGGAGGGGGATATAATGAGAGCAGTTTGCATTTGAGCAAATTTGCATGTAGGCGAGACAAACTGAAAGACTGCCATTCCATTAGGTGTAAGTGTGGTTTGACCACTGTATTTCTTGCCAGTGAAGATGTGACAGTCTGCCATGGCTGTCAGGAGAATTTTGAATCAAATAAGGAAAGTTTGGAGCTGTCAGGTCTCTTGCCTCTGATGTCCACAAGAAAGCAGGGATACATATACATTGACAGTAGTTGTGTGAGAAATGAGTTTCTCTCTGTAGGTACTTTGTCACCTGCAGCATTTCGACTTTTACAGATGGCTATTCATGGGTGCCTTGCTGTGTCATTAGCCCTTGGCTTTACTACCACTTCAGATCTCTCAAAGATTATGAATATCCCAGAGGAGGTAGACGTAGTACATTACATCAGCCAGCATTTACAAAGTCATTGGGATGCTCTTTCTGTTATGGCGGAAATCGGAAATGCACAACTTGGTAAACTTTTTGAATTTCACAGTGAAAGATGGGATGTCTTTTTGGGTTCACAGTACATCTCAGTTTTGTGAGCCAGAGGACAGAGTAAGTTTTGAAGATAACTTCAGTGACTATTTCAATGAGATTATGGTCAGAAGGTTTGGCATTATACAGGAGGAGGTAAGATCTTTCCATAAGACCAAGCCACATAGTTCTGCCTCATCTTGGGAGATGATATTAGCAGAGGCTTCTGAAGAAGACAATATAAGTGAAAGGTTGCCAAGGTTGATGAGGGAAAATGTGTCGCCCAGTATTGAAAATATGGAAAGGGAATATGTCATTCAACAAAAAAACTGAACAGTTTCCAATTATGGCTTTAGTATTTGAAAAGAAGAATGCACTGCCTTTGCTGAAACATCTCATTCCACTTATTCAATGGCACATGTGTACCATACGGCAATCCAGTAATAACTCAAGAGTTGTGGAATGCAGAACTGTTGAAGATTTTATCCATATGTGTCAGAAAGAAGTAAAAGCTGGTGAGAAATCAGATCTGATGAAAACATTTGAGACCTTCAAGCAGTCTTGGAATCAACTGAGAGAAGAAATTCATGTGTTGAAACACTACAATGAATTCATATCAGACATGCCTAGGGTGCATATAAGAGGTCCACTTGAAACATGCATAATGACAAAATCTACTGCACCTATCATACAAGTGTTAAAGGCTTTGCAGTCTATTCAGAACCAATTTTTGACAGATTCTGTTATTGTGAGTTTGTCACTGAACAACCTGTCAACCAGTTTCCTGACACTAAATGACAGGTTTGCAAATCTGCATGGAACAGCTGTAGAAAATGTTACACCAAGACATGTTATTACCCTGCCAGACTTACTTGACATGCCAAAGTTTTCTCAAATAAACACAGAATTAGGACATGGAAGAGAAAGACTCTATGATATGTATCAAATTGAACTTCAAGTTGTGGCAGAATCCTTGGTAAATATGCCATTACTATTAATAGGACCTAAATTTCCTATGATCCGCTTTTATGATGAAAGATTACACAGGACTGACCAACTTCGGGAAGATATCATCAACATTGTTGGCCATGAAGCCATTGACAAAGATATCATCAAGTCTATTGTTTCACTAAAAGAGAAGAGTTCATCAAATATGCAGACATTGATTGACTACTTAGAAATGACCTTCACTCTTCTCAAAAGAGCTCCACTGTCTGGTCGCCAGAAACAGCAAACTTTGAATGACTTTCTCATGGCTTGGCAATCTTTCTTTCCCAAAAGAGTTTTGGACATTGATGCCTTTTGTAAAAGGATCCGTTTGACTCAGTTAATATCTCTCTATGAATATGTAGAAGACCTGGTGGCTGACATGATCATTGACCGATTAGAAGACACATACCGAGTCTCTATGCCTGAAGAATGTGAATCACACATGAACACTGTTCTTGGGATGATAGATTTGAAGTTGCAAGAAGCCCTTCTGTCAGCTTTGAAGAAGACGGTATTCAGATATATCCGATTTCAGTTTGCAAAGGCTGCTGATCCCTTGTCACCTTTACTTATGCAAAACATTATGTGGCCAGAAGGTGGTTTAGAAGCTGTTACATCAAGAATTAAACAGCTTGATGCTGAACTGATTCATCCCTGCCTTTGTGTGGAGCATATCTGTGATGCCATTGACTTCATTACGCAGGCTGTTGAGGTATAGTAATTTTTCATATATCTATTTATATATACATTCTGTTGTTAGTCTCAGCATTATATGAGGACAGTATGTAACTTTAAAACATGAGATCAGAGAATGATTGGTCTAGATTTTCCTAGAAACAGATTTCATTGGGCAAAATAGTGATGACAAATATGTAAATGTACCACAAAAATTCAGGCATGACACAAGCTGTTCACCAAAAGCATAGACATGTCCTCTATCAGTAGAACCTGGTACTCACAGTTCTCATGCAATAGTAATTTTGGTTCCTGTGTAATGACACACCCAGCAATATTCCTGTATTGTGAGTCTGGCTTAGGATTTTTAAAAGGGTTGGGTTTTTTCTTTACAATTGTCGTTTAATGGACAAATGCTTATCAATCATTCATCTCTGGTAGCCTGAAAGTAGATTGTAGATTTATTGTATAATTATAAATGTAGGTTTGTTGGTTTTTACATCACTCTTCCAAAAGAGAATGCATTTTCTTCAGGAATTAAGGATGAAGGATGGCAGGAACAGTTCCCAATATGCAGGAGCAGGCCAAAAGAAGTCTGGAACTGTTCAACAACGAAAGAAGAAGCTGGCAAAGAAATTTAGAAAACGTTGATTTTCTTCGTAAGTAAAATATGAGCTCCATAATTTTTCTGAAACATACTTCAATTCTAAATGTTATTTAAAGACAGATTGGCCATAGCCTTTTTTTTCTTTACCTTTTTTTTCTTTACAAGACTAATTCTTACCTTTTTTCTTTCAGTTGTCAGGACACCATGGAACATTTACCAGTTTTGTCAAAGATAAGGAACAGATTCACTATTATAGGGAAATTTTGTACATCCTTCTCACAGTATATATGTGATGTGTTGAAGGACTATGTTTATTCTGGTGAAGAATTCTCTGTCAGAATTATTAATTTGATGACACACAATAACTATAACTGACAAATCCCTAACATTTGTGTATGATTATAACATTTAGTTGTTTATATGTATACTTGATAATCCTTTGTGTTTGGACTTCCTTGTAAATATGGATTGATAATACAACATTTGCTATATGTATAAATCTGTTCAACTCAAAACTTGAAAAGCAAACACTGTCAATAACTTGATATGAGATACCTGTAAATATGATATATAACATTTGATGGTACTGGTATTTTGTATTCATAATGATGAAGAATGATATTGTTGAAGTAATGCTTTGAGATATCTGAATGCATGTTGTAAATCTGGACATTCAAAAACCAGATAATAGTCAAGAATTATTAGTCAGAAATACTGTCTTACTTGTCAAAATACATGTTGTAAATATGGACATTTTGGTGGTATAAACCATCATGAATATAATGAGGCAACAAAATTTTATTGACAAATCCAAAACATTTCATATATGATGATTTCATTTAGCTGTTGATATGTAGACTTGATAATAGTATGTGTGAATATGGACTTATAATGCAATATCTTCTATATGAATCATATGTCGAACTCAAAACTTGAAAAACAAACAAGGGGATACCTGTAAATATCATATATAACATTTGATGGTACTGAAGTTTCATACAGATATTGATGAAGAATGATACTGTTGACGTAATGCTTTGAGATATCTGAATACATGTTGTAAATATGGACATTCAAAAACCAGATAATGGTGAAGAATTGTTAGTAAGAAATACTGTCTTGCTTGTCAGAATACATGTTGTAAATATGGACATTTTGGTGGTATAAACCATCATGAATATGCTGAGACACAATAACTATAATTGACAAAGCCTTAACATTTGTGTATGATTATAACATTTAGTTGTTTATATGTATGCTTGATAATCCTTTGTGTTTGGACTTCCTTGTACATATGGATTGATAATACAACATTTGCTATATGTATAAATCTGTTCAACTGAAAACTTGAAAAGCAAACACTGTCAATAACTTGATATGGGATACCTGTAAATATGATATATAGCATTTGATGGTACTGGTATTTTGTACACATGATGAAGAATGATATTTTAGAAGTGAGGCTTTGGGATATATGAATATATGTTGTAAATCTTGACATTTGAATGTGACAAACCATTTAGGAATCAAGCGGTTATAATGTTGATTGTTTCTGAACTAGAACAAATCCACAAAATATTGCTTTATCATATGTATATTTGTTGCATTAGAAGTTAGGTGGACTGTCAATATGTAGAGAGATATGATGACTTTTTTAAGTGACTCCCATTTGTACATACCAGTTAGTACACAGTGATTGATGTCAAGGATATTTCAGTCTGACAAGAAACAGTGAGGGAGCACTTGTTCAGTTGATGCTTCTAGATGTATAAGTACCTGCTGTGTATATGTGGACATATGGATGGTACAAACCATCATGAATATAATGAGGCAACAAACTTTTATTGACAAATCCAAAACATTTCAAGTATGATGATAACATTTAGCTGTTGATATGTAGACTTGATAATAGTATGTGTGAATATGGACTTATAATGCAATATCTTCTATATAAATCATATGTCGAACTCAAAACTTGAAAAACAAACACTGTTAATAACTTAATAGGGGATACCTGTAAATATGATATATAACATTTGATGGTACTGATGTTTCATACAGATAATGATGAAGAATAATATTGTTGAAGTAATGCTTTGAGATATCTGAATACATGTTGTAAATCTGGACATTCAAAAACCAGTGATGGTGAAGAATTATTAGTAAGAAATACTGTCTTGCTTGTCAGAATACATGTTGTAAATATGGACATTTTGGTGGTATAAACCATCATGAATATACTGAGACACAATAACTATAATTGACAAAGCCTTAACATTTGTGTATGATTATAACATTTAGTTGTTGATATGTATGCTTGATAATCCTTTGTGTTTGGACTTCCTTGTAAATATGGATTGATAATACAACATTTGCTATATGTATAAATCTGTCCAACTGAAAACTTGAAAAGCAAACACTGTCAATAACTTGATATAGGATACCTGTAAATATGATATATAGCATTTGATGGTACTGGTATTTTGTACACATAATGAAGAATGATCTTTTAGAAGTGAGGCTTTGGGATATATGAATATTTGTTGTAAATATGGATATTCAAAAACCAGATAATAGTGAAGAATTATTAGTCAGAAATACTGTCTTACTTGTCAGAATACATGTTGTAAATATTGACATTTTGGTGGTATAAACCATCATGAATATAATGAGGCAACAAAATTTTATTGACAAATCCAAAACATTTCAAGTATGATGATAACATTTAGCTGTTGATATGTAGACTTGATAATAGTATGTGTGAATATGGACTTATAATGCAATATCTTCTATATGAATCATATGTCGCACTCAAAACTTGAAAAAGAAACAAGGGGATACCTGTAAATATCATATATAACATTTGATGATACTGAAGTTTCATACAGATAATGATGAAGAATGATACTGTTGAAATAATGCTTTGAGATATCTGAATACATGTTGTAAATATGGACATTCAAAAACCAGATAATGGTGAAGAATTATTAGTCAGAAATACTGTCTTGCTTGTCAGAATACATGTTGTAAATATGGACATTTTGGTGGTATAAACCATCATGAATATACTGAGACACAATAACTATAATTGACAAAGCCTTAACAAAGGTCACATGCAACCAAAAAATCAAACATAATTAAAACACAATTATCACTTCTTCATGACATATAATATGCATTGCTGATTATGAAAAAACAAATAAACAAAATTATAAGCGTATAATCGCAAATCAAAAGTGCAATATTTTGTACTTGGGTTTACCTCCCTCGAAACGAAGCAGCCGGGATACCGAGCCCAGTCAGAGCGGGTGGGTGTGCACTCAAGTGTAACGGCTGGTTCATTAGCAGATGCTGCCTTCACGGCTCATTGTGTGTGTATATATAGAAAGTTGGGTTTTGTAAATACATGCTCATTTTTTTGTGTATAACATTTTGCAATCAACAGACATCATAACATGTCATGTGTTCAAGTATCACACCTGCCTGTCTGTGTAATTACATAATGTGACAGAGACCGAACTCGGGCCATAAATCAATGCGTTTTGTTTATGGTGTATAGCCTGATTGGTGTTAAGTTCAAATTGCATGTGGTCAGTGATCGCAGTTGTGTATTGAATATTGTCATTAGCAGACAGGCAGGCAGACACACAGGTGTCAATAAAACAAGACATTGAGTTTTGTCTGTGACAGCGACATATCTATATCACAGTTAGAAATTATGTCAACTCCAAATAATGACATTGCTTTAAAGTATCGAACTGAGAAAGTGACTCGGTAAGAAGAACGTGTGGTGAAATAGACAAATGAAATTATATAAACAGTTTATTTACTGTCATAACATACAAAAAGCTTGCGCCTGTGAGTTATCAACAAAACATTATGAAAATAGCTCACACCAAAGCCTTCACCGAGTATTCACCAGACAGCCCGCTTCCAAGTTGCGCGAACCTATTTCAGTGCGCACGTGCTATGAGCGCAGCCCAGCTGTTGAAACCCGTATTCCCCAGAAAAGTCTGGGGAAAATTAGTGAAACGTTTGAACTCCGATTTCGCGCGTTTTTTTTCATCGCGTTATTTTTGAACTATATAAGTTGAATTTGCATTTTTGACGCTTTGTTTCGGTAAGTCCATACCGAAAGGTATCAGAATCTGCAAAGTTGTGTTTTACGTTGCATGTGACCTTTAACATTTGTGTATGATTGTAACATTTAGTTGTTTATATGTGTGCTTGATAATCCTTTGTGTTTGGACTTCCTTGTACATATGGATTGATAATACAACATTTGCTATATGTATAAATCTGTTCAACTGAAAACTTGAAAAGCAAACACTGTCAATAACTTGATATTGGATACCTGTAAATATGATATATAGCATTTGATGGTACTGGTATTTTGTACACATAATGAAGAATGATATTTTAGAAGTGAGGCTTTGGGATATATGAATATTTGTTGTAAATCTTGACATTTGAATGTGACAAACCATTGGGAATCAAGCGGTTATAATGTTGATTGTTTCTTAACTAGAACAAATCCACAAAATATTGCTTTATCACGTGTATATTTGTTGTATTAGAAGTTAGGTGGACTGTCAATATGTAGAGAGATATGATGACTTTTTTAAGTGACTCCCATTTGTACATACTAGTTAGTATACAGTGATTGATGTCAAGGATATTTCAGTCTGACAAGAAACAGTGAGGGAGCACTTGTTCAGTTGATGCTTCTAGATGTATAAGTACCTGCTGTGTATATGTGGACATTTGGATGGTACAAACCATCATGAATATAATGAGGCAACAAACTTTTATTGACAAATCCAAAACATTTCAAGTATGATGATAACATTTAGCTGTTGATATGTAGACTTGATAATAGTATGTGTGAATATGGACTTATAATGCAATATCTTCTATATGAATCATATGTCGAACTCAAAACTTGAAAAACAAACAAGGGGATACCTGTAAATATGATATATAGCATTTGATGGTACTGAAGTTTCATACAGATAATGATGAAGAATGATACTGTTGAAATAATGCTTTGAGATATCTGAATACATGTTGTAAATATGGACATTCAAAAACCAGATAATGGTGAAGAATTATTAGTAAGAAATACTGTCTTGCTTGTCAGAATACATGTTGTAAATATGGACATTTTGGTGGTATAAACCATCATGAATATAATGAGGCAACAAACTTTTATTGTCAAATCCAAAACATTTCAAGTATGATGATAACATTTAGCTGTTGATATGTAGACTTGATAATAGTATGTGTGAATATGGACTTATAATGCAATATCTTCTATATGAATCATATGTCGAACTCAAAACTTGACAAAACAAACATTATTAAAAACTTAATAGGGGATACCTGAAAACATGATATATAACATTTGATGGTACTGAAGTTTCATACAGATAATGATGAAGAATGATACTGTTGAAATAATGCTTTGAGATATCTGAATACATGTTGTAAATATGGACATTCAAAAACCAGATAATGGTGAGGAATTATTAGTAAGAAATACTGTCTTGCTTGTCAGAATACATGTTGTAAATATGGACATTTTGGTGGTATAAACCATCATGAATATACTGAGACACAATAACTATGATTGACAAATCCTTAACATTTGTGTATGATTATAACATTTAGTTGTTGATATGTAGACTTGATAATCCTTTGTGTTTGGACTTCCTTGTAAATATGGATTGATAAACCAACATTTGCAATATGTATAAATCTGTCCAACTGAAAACTTGAAAAGCAAACACTGTCAATAACTTGATATAGGATACCTGTAAATATGATATATAGCTTTTGATGGTACTGGTATTTTGTACACATAATGATAAGGAATGATATTTTAAAAGTAAGGCTTTGGGATATATGAATTTGTGTTGTAAATATAGACATTCAAAAACCAGATAATGGTGAAGAATTATTAGTCAGAAATAATGTCTTGCTTATCAGAATACAAGTTGTAAATGTTGATATTTTGGTGGTATAAACCATCATGAATATACTGAGACAATAACGATAATTGACAAATCCATAACATTTGTGCATGATTATAACATTTAGTTGTTGATATGTAGACTTAATATATGTGTTTGGACATACTTGTAAAGATGGACATTTGAATGTGAAAAACCATCGGGAATCGAGTGGTAATAATGTGACTAACATTCTTTGTGAGCAAAAAGAATTCCACAAAATATTTCTTGATCATTTATTGAATTTGATACATGTATTTGAATTTAGGTGGACTGTCAATATGTGGAGATATGATGACTTTTTGTAAAGTGACTCTCACTTGTACATACTAGTTAGTATACAGTGATTGATGTCAAGGATATTTCAATCTGACAAGAAAAAGTGAAGGAGCACTTGTTCATTTGATGCTTCTAGATGTATAAA